AAGGATCACCCAAATCCTTGAACTATATTTGCGAGGGAATGTTTGCTGTACCAGGCCCCTACAAGGATCTAAGTGGAGGTATACACAGCTGTTGGTGATAGAATTCAATTTAAACATATACAGGAGAAGTTTCTGAGTAAGACATGATCAACTTACTTTCATCATTTTCTCCAGCTTCAGATGTCACAGTGATTGTGAAAGTTGTTGGCTTTTCTGACAGTACTGTTCAAAGGAAAAAAGCAAGAGTCAGGGAGAGTCCTTAAATCAATTACTTCTTTACATCAGTGAAACTGAACTTCTTAAAAGACTTATAAAGAAAGTAAGCTCTTGATACAGTGTTTTTAACTTATTAAGGTAATACTTTTCAATTAACAGCTATTTTCATACAATGTGATGCCAGGAGTCTCTCTGAATGAGACCATACATCATCAAACAATACCAAAGGGTTTCATTTTTGGAAAACTTTCTCTTCTGGAGGTTTCACTGTTCCAGAAAGTGCAAATCAAATCAAGCAACTTCTGGTAGTGCACTGACTGCATGCGGAAAGCTACCAAAGCTGATTTGCTTTACTGCACTAAATGTGCCTGATGAGCATCCAGTGCACTCTTGACCGTGGACTATTTTTACAGTATGTCGGTACCTATATTTAAAACAGCTTAATGCAAGAAATGCTACTAACCAAGCAACATACTAGAATCAAAGTGTGTGAATCAGGCAGCTAGAAGACAGACAACACAACATAGCAAGAGCTGTGACCTGCATTTCTCCCAGGCTAAAAACCTCATTGCACAATTGTGGGTTGCAGACCACATACTCATGTAAGAGGTGCTCTGCATCTCTGTTATAACCTGTGCCCAAATTAGTGCACATGCTCTCAAAGTATCAACTGAGTTTTTGCCTAATTGCTAATGTACTACTACAATCTTTATTCCCCTCTCCTCTCTTGAGCATAAAAGCATGAGTGAACAATAACTCTGAGTAAGCATCAGAGTAAAGGCTGTATAAAAGAGTATGACTTCCATATCAGTTTCAGATATCCAGCATCCCCAACTATCAGAGATCAGTTTATATACCTTTACATAATCTTTAAAATAAAACCGAAGACCTGAACAGATTTTCAGATTGAAGCAATAGGCAATTGTACTGGGCAAACGTTTGTGTGATGAAGTTACTGCCAAATAAGATGCTGTGGAACTCTAGGCAGAGTAGACACTGTGCAGGAAGGAAACAGAAAATGCCTCAATTTTTCCACTGTTAATATTCTTTGGATACAGAATGCCAAAAATCATGTTGGATTAAGCAGCATTTGGATACTCTTGATTGTTTGATGGTAAATTGAAAATCCTGAAAAACTGATGAACCAATGTATCCACTACATGAAAGTTCCAGCAGTATAACATGCTGCACCAGGAAATTAAAGCTTGCCTTTTTTTTCACCTGCAACGAGGTAAGGCAGGTCCTGGCAATAAATTTACGAAGGAAACAGCATCTGTAAGCACCCCAAAACATCCCATGCCTCACGACCGCGACAAGCTTGCTAGCGGATAGGAAAACCGCTCGGCACACAAACCAATTCCCAGGGCTGCATCTTTTGAAAGGCTTCTCCCAAGAGCATCCTTCCAGCGCAGGGGACCGGCTTGCCCACGCCGGGCTGGCTGCTGTGCCAGGGCGCTGAACGCGGCAGGGGCAGCCCACGGACCGGGCCACAGGGGCCATCGAGCGCCTTGCTCTTCCCGGCCGGGGAAAGCGAACCAACATCCCGAGCATCCACCCGAGCCGCGCCGCTCGGAACCCCCGCGGGACGCGCGGCAGCCCCGGCGCGGCCTCCCGCTCCTCCCCCCGCTCGCCGGCTGCCGGCCCGGCCCCGGCGCGGCCCCGCACCCGTGAACGAGTCCGGGTAGATGGACTCCAGCGCCTCCAGCTCGTTGCGCTGCTCCTCGCTGTAGTCGGTCATCGTGGCCCTCCGCCCACGGCCATGGGCCGCCCGCACCGCGACGCCGCCGCCACCCCCGCCCGCGCCTGCGTTGTCCCGGCCCCGTCCCGGCCCTTCCTAGCATGCCTCGCGCTCGCGGTAGGCGGGAATGCCGCCTCTGGGCTGGGCTGGGCCGGGCTGCGCTGCACCGACGGAGGGAGGCGGCGCGGCTGCCATGGCGGGAGGCCGCGCACGGGGAGCCGGCCCGGCTGGTCCCCGGTGCCCTCACAGCCGCGGTGCCCGCTGCTCGGTCAGCTCCAGCGCTCAGCTCCGGGCAGGACGGAGCGTACCTGGCGTGCGGGAGGGATCCTGCTGGATCCCAGCCCGCGCTGCTTCCCCGCCCCTCCCGGGAGCGGCGGCCTTGGCAGAGCTGAGGTCCGCAGTCCCTGTGTTGCACAGACTAGTGATGGTACGGTTCACTCTGGGACGTTCTTGCCTTGAAAATTTACAGGGATCAGCAAAGTGATGGGGGTTCAAACGCGATGCTCCAGGTAGTGCGTAAGGGTACCGTGAAGGCAGCTAAATGCCATTTCTGCCAGAAACTGGAAGTTTATTCGATGCAGCTGGTGATTTGCACCTTGAAGTTAAACAGCGCCTGCAGACTTCCCAGGAAACGTTCACCGTGATTTCAGGATCCCATCGCATCGGCGGCATTGCCATGATGCGTGTGCAGAACAGGAGTCACCAAGGCTAACGGTACTGGGAGCTGCCATGCTTTGGGGTTACCTGCCAGGATGGATTTAAGACTGACGAGGGTTAAACAGCAGCAGACCCTGATGGGTACGTGGTACACAGAGTAGATGTAAGGTCCATCTCGTTCCTGGCCCCATGGCTGGCAATTTTCCCACAGATACATTTTATAAGCACAAGGTTTTCAGAAAAGTTGCCATGGGCATAAAGACAATAATTCTCAAGTGAGTAAACTGAAATTCTAAGTGGATTATTGGATAAGATTATTCATTTCAGCAGAGTTTGACTGTTTAACTGTACCAACTCAGAGTTGTCTGTAATCATAAATTAATTTAAAAGCTGTGCCTTCACTAGCAATCCATGACATGTTTCAAAGAGGAGAGGAATAAAGGGAAATACCCCAAAACTTAAAATACTACAGCTGTAGTACTATGGATTAATATATACTAACAAAATGATAGTGTGTTTAGTATATTGGCAGGCTGACTTCACAGTGACAGTATTTCCACTCTATTTTAAATTACATGTCATTGTGAAAAATACAGGGCAAATAGTAATCAGGACAAAATCAGAAGCCATGAAGCCTAATTTAAAAATCAGGTGAGCAATATATAAAAATAATTTTACAGGTTACTCTTAACTGCAAATATTGCATCATTTTACAGTAGTGCTGTAAAATAATAGAAGTGGAAAGAATTCACATGGACTAAAGACCACAGGTTTTGGTCATTTGGATCCAGACATCAGCATAGAGGTTTTCTATCAAAAACTATCTAGCTTTCTATCTAGCTTCAGGTACACAAATCAGTTGCATGTATTCCAGATTACAGTGTTCCATCTTAAATAAAAGAAAAAAAACCCAAATATTTTTAAAATTAAACCAGAAGTTGTGTTTACTACCAGAGGTACATTGTGTCCTAAGGAGTTGACATAAACAATGCAGCCCCATTACCTTTTATTAGGTTTGCATGGCCAGATTTTGGTAGCAGGGGCACTACAGGGGTGCTTCTGTGAGAAGCTGCCAGAAGCTTCCCCTTTGTCCTGCAGAGCCAATGCCATCTGGCTCCAAGACCTGCTGCTGACCAAGGCTGAGCACCATCAGCAATGGTGGCAGCACCTCTGGGATAGCAGGTTTAAGAAATGAGGAAAAAGACCCTGAGCAACAGAAATTGCAGCCAGAGAGAGGAGCGAGCAGAACAGCTCTGCAGACACCAAGCTCAGGAAGGAGTGAAGCAGGTGCTACAGGCTCTGGAGCAGGGGTTCCTCTGCAGCCTCTGGTGCAGACCATAGGGAGGCAGCTGTGCCTCTGCAGCCCAGAGAGGTCCCTGGTGAAACAGATCCACCTGCAGCCCCTGGAGGAACCCACACCAGAGCAGGTGGGTGGCTGCAGGAGGCTTTGATCCCACCGGGGGTCTGTGCTGGAGCAGATTCTTGGCAAGACCTGTGGAGAAAGGGGTCCCCACTGCAACAGGTTTGCTGGCAGGATTTGTGACCCTGCAGGGAACCTACCCTGGAGCAGGTGGCTCCTGAAGGGCTGCACCTGGTGGAAGGGACCCACCCTGGAGCAATTACTGAAGAACTGCAGCTTCTGTAAAGGACCCACACTGGAGAAGTCGATGGAAGACTGGCCCTGGGAGGAAGTACCCTATGCTGGAGCAGGGGGAGAGTGTGAGGAGCCCTCCCTCCAAGGAGGAAGGAGTAGCAGAGACAATATGTGATGAACTGTCTGCAACCCCCATTCACTCACACCCCCTGCACCACTGGAGGGGAGGAGGTAGAAAATTTGTGAGTGGAATTGAGCCCAGAAGAAGGAAGGTGGTGGGGAAAGGTACTTTAAGAACTAGTTCTCATTATCCCACTCTGATTTCATTGGTAATAAAATAAACTAATTCCTCCACGTGGAGTCTGTTTTGCCCTTGACAGTAATTGCTGAGTGATCTCTCCTTGTCCATAATTCAACCCATGATACTTTCCTTATATTCTCTTTCCCCTATCCTAATGAGGAGAAGAGGGACAGAGCAGTTCTGACTCCTGCATTTTCTAATAAAATGTACTAAATAATTAGATTTTTCCACTTAAAGCCCCTGGGGTCATTTATTAGGAGAAGATAGCATCCTATAGTGTAGCATATGGCTTTGGAGCCCACATATATATGTGTACATGGCAAGGCAATGCAGGAAGCATTAAAAAAAACTATGGCATGCATTTCCCTCCCACTTAGAGTTAGAAACATCTGCACAGGAGGTTAGAGAGGAGATGAGTAATATTATATCATACCAAACTGACTTAACACAAAAACATCATTAAGCCTTCTTTCACAAAATTAAGTAGTTTTTAATCACAGTCATTTTCATGGGCCTAGAATATGTATAAATTACAAGTTTACAGAGGCAAAGCAAACCCTGCTGTACAGACTGAGATTTTTCCCATCCTCATTTGCTATTTGTACAGTAGCCAAGCACACAAACACCTTGGAGATTTTGAAGTATTTCCAAATAGGAGACTGACCTTGATACTGCTTTCAGCCAGAATACATTTCAGCTCAGTTTGCCATATGTTAAGTGTTTGTTCATACAGCTGCTATGTGTTACACACCTCCACCATGTGCCTCAGTGGAGATTTTTTCTCCTTATCAGAATTTAAAGTTCTCTCATCATTGTATCTAAACTCAGCCTTTGATGATAAAATTTCCCCATATGTTTCTTGCATGCTACAGTAGCCCCAGACTTAACTAGTAGTTAGCTCAGTGTAGATTACATATATAATACAAAAAAATAAATAGCAGAAGAGGAGAAATAAGTAATTTCTGCTAGGTGTCACTAAGGAAAAGCTGGATAGCTGCCCTTGCTCTATACAGAATGGACCAATTCATAGCATCCAATCAAGGTCTACCTCTTAAAAATCCTTTTAATGGAAAAAAAAATTAAAAGCATTTGTAAATAACTTTCTCAGTACAACTATTAGAAAGCAGAGAGCTGAAGCTTGAAATAGCCCACCCTAATCTAGGCATAGATCACCACATCCCACAGGAGTCAAAACACCATCAGTAAAGGCAGCTGTAAGCAGGTGCTGATGGACTACATTAACAAGATTCACTTGCTCACATAATTTATATATCAATGTTGTACTGTATTGGAAAGTTCCAGTGCGGCTCAGGTCTGACATAGAGCTAGACAGGTTCCTGCTTTTCTGCAAAGTATTGTGGGGTCTTGGATCTTCAAAGCTGTGTTATGATCCCAGGATCTTCATCAATCCTCAGATACTTTCCACTTGCACGCTCCTTGAGTGCCCAGTCATGGAGGAGGCTGTAATCATAGTGCTCCTTATCCACTCTTTTCAGAAAGGCCAGTCCAGAAATGGCCTGCCACTCCCTGAGAGATGGGATACGAATTTCCTTTACATTCTCACTTCCTGGGACAAAGCCAAAGAACTTCCTTACATTCTGCATGGCATAGAGCCTGGAATGCTGCTCTGTTGCCTCATCAAAAAGCTCCTGCTCATTGTGGACATAGCTGTTCCAGTATCTGAAGTGTAGAAAGCTGAGTGGGGAGAAACAGCTTGCCAGGCAGTAAGAAAGGAACACAGTGATGACCACCACAGCAATCAAAAGCCAGCCAGCCACCTTACCAAAGAAAAAAAAAAAGAAAATAACTGTTAGACCTGGAAATACTCACAGTGGTAACTTTTGAGCACCAGAAAATCCGTAAGATTAATTTTACTTGCTTTTCCTAAATAATAGCAGTAACAAGGTATAAGCCTGGAAAGCATCTGTTACCACCAAACCCAGTCCATGCCTGCTGGAGGCAGCCATGTCATAAGATCACTTACTCCTTTCAAGTTCAAGAAAGTTCTGAAGATTTAAGACTATTGCTTTCTCAGCTATTATTATTATAAGATAGGCCACACAGGTCCTAGACTATATTAGCTTATAGCCTGTTTAAAAACAATTTTCTCTCAAGTAACAACTTCAGAGAAGTTGCTTCTCCTATTATTTACCCAGTATGCAAACTTTTAGAATTGAGTCTGATCTAAACACCAAGATTTTACATGGGTTCACACAAAGCTCTCACAGCCTGGGCTTCTTAGTCACATTTCTTCTGCTTTAATGAAGAAACTTCATACCCTCCCTGGCTCTTGAACTTCCATTTGTCATACTTGGTATTATTTTTCAGGATACTACACAAGGAAGAATATGTCCTCAGGCAGCAGGTAACAAATGGGACAAGCAGATACAGTAATTTATAAAGGTCAGTTCCACTTAAAAGAAAAGAACATACTTCAAAACACATGGAGATTTAGCACTCAAGGCAGAGGACACTGATCTTGTTTTATGCCTGCTGGATTAGCTTCACCCCTTACCATCAAGTTTACAGGCAACAGGAGTTACTCACTTGTGACTGGTATCGGAGGAGGAGAATCACTTCATCTCTCGCCCGGGCCAGCTCTGGAGGAACCAGCTGCCCACAGGGAAATGTAGCCAAGATCCTGCTGCGCTCAGCAGCGGTGACGTTAGGAGCAGCTCCATAGTAATGCACAGGGATGTACTCGCTCACAGCACAGATATAATAGGAGCCATTTATCAGGGTGACTGCAAGCCATGTGACTGGAGCAACCAGTGCCCTCCCTGTGATGCTGCACAGGACAAAGCAGAGCAGTTTGCATTTCAGCAGCCAGTTTGATGACATCTCCCTCTCAAAATGAGAGCTTTTGCCCATAACAAGCCTCCAAGTCTGGTTGTTCAGGGCATAGCCAACAATCAGAAGGATCAGCGCAGGCACTCCTAGGAAAGCCAGCCCATAGATAAGGTTCTGTCCAACATGACAGGGACAGCTGAACGTGAAAAAAGAGAAAAGTTGCTGCCCACCAATTGTCAATATTGCAATTATTGCGTTAGCAATAACAACCTCTTTGCCTTTTAGAAAAGTTAACCACTTTGGAAGGAAAGTCATTTTAGATCCTATTCTTTACCAGATTCTACTAGCTTTTAGTTATATTTAACTTGTGTCAATAGCAGAGCAGAATAAACACCAACAGCTTGAAATGAATACCACCAAACAACACCCAAAACCCCCCTACTAGTCTTTCTCCTCCCACTAATTTTCAGTGGCTTGTTTGCTAGCTTTAAGTATGCTTGCAGACATTCACTGATGTGTTTTAATTGATTCAGTGATTTATCTCAGCTGTTCTGGAAAATTGAGCTTTCAGGCTGTTGTGAGCTCTGCCAGCCCATTGCTAATTGTCTGAAATTAACAATAAATTCCCCCTACCTTTTGGATGACATAAAGTGCTATCAAACTGATGGCTAACCTGTCAGGGTTAATTGCTAAGCTGTTTTCTAATCAAGAGTAATTAGAAGAAACGTGGCATGAAACTAGGAAAAAAAATAAAAGGAGCCTTCCAGCTATTCTTCATAAAAGATCATCCAAACAAATCCTTGGCAAATGGACAGATTAAAAAAAAAAGAGAATGCTTCCACTTTTAAATAAATTTATAAGATATTCCGTAAGTTGCACAATGTTTGGAATCCCAGTGCTGTTTGCATTTGATGTCAGTTCTCAGGCAATTAATTGTTGAAACACGAGTCTGAGAAGTAGCTAGCTGCTGGATCATGAGGATTTTAGCGTTTCACCTCTAGGTGGCAAGAAGCTGGCATCTTTTTTTTCCGGGGGAGGGAGGGTTGATGTTTGGTTTTTGTTTTTTTTAATTTTATATATATATATATAAAATCTGCTATTCACAAAATGTCAAGCCAGCTGGTATTTATATAGTGTGCTTGTGATTACAGTTCTAAGATTTTCTGCAAGTATAGTCAGTCCTATTCCATGGACAGAGATAAAAATTTTTCAATTAAGCGTTTCCACAGCTGGTTTCTGGATCTTGGGATAGATGACCTGAGCTCTTAGCATCTCTCACAAATCAAGCCTTAAGCAGGGGTCTGAAAAATTGAAAACATTTCACTTTTGATGATTTTCTCTGGATCACACTTTTTCTATGGTCACACTATCCAGTAGTTCTACGCATTGCATAACCTAGTCTGATCTGAATATGCAAATACTTTTGTTTCAGTACTGAAAAGTCTGACAGTCTGTCATATAAACATTCTTATCAAGAAAAGGAAAAAGGTAAAAGTTAGCCAGAAAGTTTATGGGGAAATTTGCCTTCCCATTACAGATGTCTATCTCCAGCATGGGGGGACTTGGTTGTGTGGTATAATAGGTCTGCACAGCCTCTTCTCTCCCCTTGCAGAGAGGGTTGCTAATAATAAATTTGATCTCAAACAGCAGTTTTAGCACCCATGGTGTCTGCCTGGATGGCAGCTGTTGCACACAGGGATGGCCTGTTACACGTGCCTTGCCTGTTCACTGGGCAGGACCCTGTTCCTCCAGTGCACTGTTAGGGTGGACACCTGCTTGTCTCGTCCCCCGTCCCCATCTGAGAAGGAGGTTCTTGCTGGTAACTGGCTCTCAAACAATGTGATGCTGTTACACAAAATTAATAGCAGTACAGAAACATGCTGAAACATCCAGCAGCACTTTATCACAGCTTTTCTGGAACTTGTTACATTCCTTAGTTGTTTGGACACAGTTAAAGCACAATAGAGCTGTCTGAATATTGCCATTTTAAACCTTCATTTTCTTTCAGTTACACAGGATTTTCAGTAACTTTTTTTTTGTACTAGTGACATTATATTTTGGAAAAAAAATCAGTGAAATAAACCTATCAGGCTATTACAAAATTATTTTATAAAAGTCTTCTGTTATGCTTCAGTTCATTTTAAAATCTCTGATTCCTTCTGAGATTACTTTTGGAACCTATGTCTTTTGTTTATAAGGGAGGAAGGCTTTCCCAAGCATCACTTGTTTACTCAAGAAACACATTAGATGTGAAACTGAAGTGGTATCCAACACTGAAATATTAATAGTCAGCCTAAGGCTGTTGAATGAGGCAATTTATACAATCAATACAACAACTTTGTGCTTCTGCATTTTCATTCCTTGGCATTTGCTTTCATTGCCTGCTGTAAATGATCCTGCTGGGTCATCCTATTATGGAACAAATTACAGGGTTGGATCCAATTAAGAGCTTGGGTGGCACATCAAACTTTAAGTACTTGCCTTTGCAGAGGAACCCAGGGTCCTGAGGTAGACATTTAGGCTCTTTGTCCAATTCCAAGGAAGAATTAGGACTGGATGCAATCCAAAATACCACTACCTGAGGTGACAGCTGGCTGGCCTATGAGGCAAAAAGATGCTTATAGCTGACATCTCAGGCAAATAGGATCCATGAACAAACCTTAGTCATGGTTTTGCTTTTCATATTGCAGGGCTCTGTCAGCTTGAACTCACTGCCAGTAAATTCTCTTATGAGAAGGAGAGATTTTTTTTTTTTTTTAAGGAGTGAGAATCATTTGTCATTTCTTTTGAAACATGATGTTTGGAAGACAGATTTCACCTTCCCATACACAGCAAACAATTTTTATTCTCCTTTTTATTGAAATAAAGCAACCATGGCAAAACAGAGATTTCAGCTCCCTTCTCCACCTGATCTAGTAAAAACTCATTCACTCATCTCTTTCTTCCAAAAGCTCAGTTATTATTAGTGATGAGATGTGACTGTGCTGCAAAGAAGCTGTGTTCTCCAACTTTCCTGCCATAGTTCTACCAGTTGTGCTTAGTTTCGCCACAGAGAGGATTTTGATATTTATTGGATCAAAAAAAAAGACCAGAATTTTGTTATCTAATGGCCAGGCAAAGTTCAGGAGGAAGAGGGAAGTGATCCTCTATTTTCCATCTGAAGTCTGGAGGAGGAGACTGAATCCTGGTCGTGTGTTTTCACCACTGAGTTAGCAGTCAAAAGGCCCATGTTCTGTAGCTCCTCTAGCTGCATTTTGAGCTCTTTTGCATGGATGTCAAGCCCACCTGTGCATGTTAGCAAGCATGGTATGAAAGCACCTGCATGACAGATTTCTTGTGGGAGTAGAAAGGAACACTGCCCATGTCCTGTGAGCTGCCAGGTCATGGTCTGGATGCAGGCTGACAAGTAATTTTCATGGTCTCTTTGGCCTTTGGAGAAGTTCCTGTCCCCATCACTAGGACAAGCACTGATGAAAAAAATAACAAGTTTTATGCTTAGGGAAGGACAGAAATCTGTTAATGATTTTTTTTAAAGCTTACATATTTCACTTCAGAATTCAGCTGTGTTTTATAGGCAAATTTATGAGATTTTAGATTCCTGCAGAGAGCAGAAAGGAGGCGCTCAAATGTCAAAACACCCTCTTGAGAAACATAGCCTAAACAAGGAAGTCTCAGCAGGTCAAACTGAGAATGCTTCCCAGGCAGGGTACTACAGCAAAGTGACAGCAATGGCATTGCTTTACTTGGAAACATGGCAAGAGCAGCAGCCACACTGGACTCCTAGTAAAAGCACTCGTGTGATATGAGAAACCTGTGTTCAAGTTCTTTTTTTCACACACCTTCAAATCCTCAACACCTACCTTCTTGTGATTCTATTTTCTGTCAGAGAAAATTTAATACAAGGTCTATCCATCTGAAAAATGGAGAGCAAAGGAAAGCTTGATCCTGTATTTTACTAATTTGGACACTCACCTTTTGTGGTTATTGCATTCTTGTTTTGGCTCAAAGAATTTTTTCACCTTTTTTTTTTGGGGGGGGGGGTTTCTAATTAGGCAATAACTAATTTATGATTTACTTCTGTGTTGCACTTATCATGTACTTACCTCTGCAGGTGTCAGTTTTCCCATAATAGGCAGTCCATTGCAAGAGACAGAGTGCTGATGCATGCTTTTATGTGTGCTTTTGAGCTTCGGGATAGATTTTGTATTTGGTTTTTGTTTTTTAGTTTGATGGGAATTGAGAGAACTGATGTAGTCTAATGCTCAAGCCCTGTGAAGACTCACCTTGGGGCTGAACACTAAATTTGTCGCCTGAAAAACAGGACAGAAAGGGAGGTGGAGGGTGATTCCCACTTTCTCACTATTCCAATTGCCTTGGATTACTTCTAAGAAGTATATGCTTAGGATTAAAACAGGTGCCAGATGTGTGCCTACCTCTACTCTTTTCACAGGGCTGCAAGACAGTCCACCAAGGACTTGTTTCCCTCACTGGAGCCATTGAATCCAGTTTATTTAGACACACCATTTCAGCTTTGTTTTCTTAATAATGTGCAAACCTTTTGAAATGCAGTACATTCTACTCAATACACAGCAATATATGTGTAAATTTATTTGTGTGCACATGGGCATGTCTGTATTTTTCAAAGGATGTTGATGTGTCCTTGCCATTGCACTGTCTGGTGCACAAGGTTCCTCATGATTATGGTATTAATAATGCAGGCTGAAGTAATTAATCCATATATATTCTGAACCACATAAATAGAATTGTGCTCATTTATGAGTAGTCTTAAGTGCTTTGTGGTGGGTTCTCTAAAGCTGAATTATGCTAATTATAATCTTTTACAGTTTGGGGTTTTTTTTTAATGTAATGCAGTACACTTTCTTGTGGAATATGGGATTACTGTTGCAATGTGGGGCATATTTGATGCTTGTCACCAGTTGGAGACAATCAGAGAAACAAACTCATCGCAGACTCAGTTTAGAAATGCAAGTAAGTATCTAGAGAATTGTAATGCCTTAGTTTTAAAATTAATTAAAATTTAGATATGAGAAGTACCTACAATTGTTTCACTTATAAAATGGAGTAAGGTTTTACAGGGTCAGAAGAGCACCTGAAAAAAAAAAATGGAAGAGGCAATTACATTGTAAAATTGTCAATACAAGTTCATTCTGTGTGAAATAAAAGCAATTTGGATTACTGAGTTTTACACAGAAAAAACTGAAAATCCTTATTTTTCCTGGTTAAATTGTGTCATAACTTTCAACTACCATTTTTAAAATAATCTTCCTTATCTCAAATTAATCACATCTGAATGCCTTCTGTGTATCTGTATCAGTAAATATATGTAATTGTATTCTGGCACTGGATCTATTAGTTAACAGAAATTAAATAACAGCATGGCATTCAGAGGAGGCCATATATTTTTACTTCCTTTCCTGAGAAGACTCAGTTGGAATGTATGTGCAGGTAAGTCCTATAAGGAATGACAACTACCTGATTAATTTCTAAATTCACCAGTGACCATCGTTGAAGTTCATTGCAAATCAAAACTACCACGTAGGCCAAATTTACCACAGGGGAAAATAGATGAACTAAGCCTGGATGTTCATTGCAAGGATATTAAGAAATAGGGGCTATAACAGGTTAAGAATGAGAGAATAATAATTCTATACACCCCTTAGGAACATGGTTAGTGAAAGTGCCATTTGCACAAGTTGGCAGCTGTACAGGTACAGAATTTACTCCTCTGGGAAGCTGAGTTCTTTCAATCTGCCCTGGCAGATTTACACGAACATGGTGGTAGCAGTGCCTTAAAAGCCACACTTCCCCAACTTAGGCAGATATTAACTCTCCAGACTACAGCAGTAAGAGTTGGCAGACTACTATAGCTTCTTTAGATTGAAAACAATCAATTTTTATTTCCCTTGTACAGCAGTATCTTTCAATTGTGTTTTTATCCTTTAGAGCTGAAGTTTTTGTTAGCTCTCCAAACACCAAAGTCTGATAGAAACAACAAAATAAATTTACTGTCCCTATAAATGTAAGACCTCTTCTGTTTGACCTCCCATTTGTGCTAGCTGTGTATTTGATTACAAACAATTTCTATGGGCAGAGTGATTATTTCTGTTGTGGACAGTGGGAGATCTGTTACCAGTCAAATTCCTCCCAAAGGGCTCAGTGCATGCAGAGAATAGGAGGAGCATCAGCAGCATTACAGACTGCAGCAAACACATCTCATGCAAAAGACAGAAGAGCAGAGAGGAGAAAAGAGAAGAGAAAGAGGATTGAGAGAAGACTGTGCTGCTTGAGGAAGAAAAGATATAAACTGACAATCAAATACATCAGGAGTTACACAAGCAGCATGTCTCGGTCACCAGGAAGAAAGCAGGAGAACCACAAAATAGTAAGACATTTTTGTAATGTGTTATTAAAATAGTGCATGGAGCAAGGGCAACTTATTATTTTATTGATGCATTTTATACATTCCTATTTCTGAACAATCTGAAAGTACTGAAAGGATGGGGGTAAGATTGGTAGTACAAGAGCTGAGCTGCTGGCAGCATTTATGGATGCTATTCCTATTGCTGGGATTCTGTACAGGCTTGGGAGAGAGGGGCACAAAGTTTCTGGGAATGCAATCTGCTCAGAAACAGAAGTCTAAGTGCTTCAAGTGTTTATGGTCTAAGATGTAAATGGCAGGTAATTTTACATACCTCTGTGGTTAGATAGCCATTCAATGAAACACAGAGAGAAGGAGATCTCTGTTCTATGCTTGAATGGTTTGACTCCAAACAAACCTTTCTTCAGGATTAAAGAGCCTTAGGGCTTTCTCTATGGTGAATGGTGATTTTTGACAGGAACTGGACAGTGGAAAAATTCCTGAAGACTTTAAGACAATGTTGTATCAATTTCTGAAAAGAGGACAGAGGGTCTCCACTGAAAAACAAATAGAAGAGTGTAATAAAATTACAGTTAATATACCTAAGTTTACAGACAAAAAGTATTCCAGTGGATTGCAAATGTGGCTGATAAATTTGATTACATTGATACATTATGCTTAAGTTTCTCTGAGGTAATTTTCTTGTTGCAACAGAGACTTTTTGCTGAACAATAATAGCAAAGTAATACAGGACCTGTATGACATCCATTTACTCCATTGAAAACTTGTTACTGAGTAGAATATTTTTTTAAACAGGAGTTATCACTAAAATGAGTTTGGAAAGTGATTCTACTTAAGATTTTGAACAGTGACTTGTTAAAACAGCAACACTGATTAAACTCCAAACTTCTGATGCGAAGGAAGCAGAACTTTCCACCCAGCTGTTCTTACTTTGCTAGTGTGATTTGTTCTGTTGTTTTTATTGGTATTCGCTATTATTTTTCCACAGGCTAAAGACAAAAAGCAGCACTGATCTGACCACATGCCAGAGGGCTATAGCACTTTAATTAATTGATGTCCAAGAAGTTTAGTAAGAGTCAGCCCAATCTCTCACTTAAAGGAAGGCTGCTACTCCTGCTAAATACAGACAGCTCTGCAGTGCACAGATGTGATCTGACAGGGCAGGGAGAAAAGGAAACTCTCCTCCAAATTTTTGGACACCTGAAGACCCCACAGTAGTACTTGTGGAAGGACTAGTGCAGACCTTGTGCAGGACCTTTGGCATCTTCAGTTGCTCTCCATGTTCCATGGGAGCTGCAATCCTCCCCATCCCTTTCATCTTGTTGTTATTCTTTACCCTTGTCCTGAATTATACTATTTTTTTCATTATTCTGAGCTAAATTTTATCTACTTTTTACTTTTTTAGAGAAAGCAGCTAATAATTTGACTCAGATCAACCCTACCTTTGTGAATTGTTGTGCTACTGCAGAAGGATTAATAGCTCATTGCCTCTTTTCCTGCTGCTGTTTGTTATTAATCTTGGATGGCATTTGACAGAATTTGTCAATCCAGCTTACATACACTCAAGATGCAAGAATTACTGATAATAGTAACTCTGAGTATACCAAGAAATCATACTTATGACAACCAAAATCCCTTACCATCTCAAGTGAGGATCAATATAGATTCTGTCATGCTTGAAATGTGGATTTCAGTGATTATACATCCATGGACAAAAATTTCTTTATTAATTTAAATGTTATTTTTTACTTGCTTTTAATGAGCAGCAGCTTTAAAACATGGAAGAGTTGGATTTTAGCTTGCTTCATTTTTGATTTTCTTATTTTCTGACAGAGCAGAGAACTTTTTGTACTCACATATGGGGCCTTGGTAGCCCAGCTCTGCAAGGAGTATGAAAAAGATGAAGATGTCAATGCCTGTTTAGATAGAATGTAAGTACTGCTTTAAATGTTCCGTTTTATCCATAATGCTGTTTGTTTACATATATATTACCTTTCAGCTTTTTGTTTGCTATCTCACAAGCATTCTGTCTATGGTTATAGAGAAGACAGGAAAAAGGTTCAATATTCTCTCAACAGAAACAACACTAATTGGTGAATTAAGATTAGCTTTTTAATTTTCTGAGGAAAAGTGTCAGGATTGCTTTCATAGCTTACACTTGTTCCTTGCTGATCCTTTAGTTATGCTAATTATTAATATAATCTTCTAAATTTCATATCCTATATCCCTCACTGGGGTAGGGACAAATGAGCCTCTCACCTTTAAAAGACCATACAGCAATGAGTGTGATAGCACAAAATGTCAATGAAGGTGAATTTTTACATGGATAACCTCCTTGGAAAATGAAGATCCAATGTTTACAAGCCCTGTCATCCTGACTGAGATTCCTAGGCATTGCTACCATAAAAATGACATTATAATGGAGAATCAGCAAGAAACAACTTTTTAGCTAGTCAACAAGAACATATAGTAAGGCCTATGGCAGAAGAGTTAGGCTTATATTTCTGGGCAAAGTGGACATGCAAAATGGATTTACAGAAATCACAGTGGACAGAATAACCTTACCACTTTACTATGAACCTGTAAGTTTGTAATCTAGCTGTAGTACAATAACTACCCATGAGAGTAAATTTTTAAAAAATCATTGTTTGGGAAAAAGAAAAGTAATTTATTCACAAACTTATAAGGGATAACATCCCTCAGATACTTTTTTGTATTCATCTCTCATTCAGATCTGGTGAAAATCATACATTTAAAATATGCACAGGCTTCTTCAATGATGCCATGGTAGAAATTACTAGAGAGCAGTTTTGGAAGGTGTGGAGACAGATTTTGCTCCTTATGTTTTCATTATTGCAGTTGTTTCTATAAAATCTTTTTATTTTGAGGAAGACTTGATCATATAATGACAGGTTTCAATAAAACAATGTGTTCTTTACTTCTGTGATTATAAAACAGCCCAGCTTCACAAAGAAACCTCACATCTCAGCAGACCTGTGACAGGTGGGGACAGTGTACTTATCTCTCTCTCTCAGTGTACATATATAGTCTGTAGTGAGAAGGGTGTTTCTCACTGTACAGTTGCCAAGTAGCTGCTTACCAGTCTGTTATTAATTTGACTTTGCAAATCTAGGGCATAAAAGTTGAAATGTATCTAAGTAGTCTTGTATGTCACTAATACATACCTTGATAAATGCTGATGACACATTTGCCAATGTTATTGATACTTAGGCAATAGATAAATATTTAATTGTTTCTAGACACATGACATACTGCAACTTTAATCTTCACACTGCCAAATCCACTTTTTGGTCTTGCTCACTGTCTTCTAGCCAAAGATGTTGTACACAAACCAGTAAGAAACTCCACAGAGTTCAGGCTGCTTCACTGAGGGTGTAGGGCCCCCGACAAACAAGCAGACACTGCCAACATCCACATAACTAGGAATGAAGAATTTCCTGAAAACATTTCTGAGCTGAGTACCCATTCTTATAAAACGTTTGTGTCGATGTCTTTCCATTTTTCAGAAAATGTTTGGAGTCACAGCTGTTTTGCAAACTAAGGAATTATTGACCTTTGTTAATGTGTCAGAGCTAAATTAATATTTGTTTTATAAAAATTCCATTATCTTCCATCCCTTTTTGTTTGTTTTTCTTTTTTTAATTGTAGTATTTTAAATACAAAATGGACATGGCAGTGTACAAGAACCCTGCATTTGTTGTGGTAATGAGCGACGCAGGGACCCCAGGCAGGTACAAAGGAGTGCTCCTTATTGCCAAAAACCCAGCCTTTTGAAGCAGTTAGCCACTAACCAGTTCACACAGTTTTAAGGCACAGCAAGCCCAAGTCAACCAACCACCATACACCACAATGCAGACAGGATGTGGACATGTGGCAGTCACACAGCACGTCTCACATCTCTCACTTCTCATCTCTCACATTTCTCTACCCTTATTCCAGCCGGGTCACTCTCCCATAAGCTCCCTTCTACTTAGCCAAAGCCTCAGGCTGGAGCCACGTTCCAAGGCCCTCCCTTTATAAAGCCTTTACCTATTGGTAACGTGTGTTAACTAACAACTTCTGTTTTGTTTTTTTTTTGTCAGCTAGTTAGATGAAGGGAGATAACATGTTAGAAAAAAAGACAAACAGGTAATTGTGAAGGAAAAATGATAAATGAGGTGAAGAGGTAAGAGGAGAAAGTGAAAGAGATCAGCTGTGAGTGCATTTCCTATGGCATCTGAATACTGCAACAAGGGTGCCCAGGACTGGTGTCCATACGTATAGACAATGTCAAACTGTGTAGACAGTTCATATCATCCTTGCCAGGACTATCAGGCTTAAAGAAGTATGATTCCTTAAATGCCTACAGGAACAGCAGTCCCACTGTGCTGTAAAATGTGGTAGAAAGAAGAATGTAGACCAGCAAAATGTGTTGTCATTAAGTCCCTCAATTAGGATCATGCAGCTGTTTTGCTGAGGAAGCACAAGAGACGCATTAGGGAGATGGCAGGTGGAAAGAAGTTCCCCATTTACAATGTTGCCTTTCCTTGTTTCCTCCTCAGGGGATACAGCATTGGCATAAGGCTCATTGATGACTTTTTGGCTCGTTCAGCTGTGAAAAAGTGCCGTAGTTACTCTGAAACAGCAGACATGATTGCACAGGTAAATAAGATTTGCATTTTCTAAAGCGTCATCAGATTCAGTGATCTTAGGTTAAAATTATGTATTCCCTTCCTTTTTTCCCTTTTAGCAGCATAAGTCTTAACTGTCTCATACAGATTGTAAACTTTGATTTTTTTACTTCTGCCATTTGTCTCTTCTCATCATTGCCATAATTATCTTAGATATCTTATTACTTTAAAATGGTAATATTAAGAATAAATGGCAGGATTTTCTGCAAAATGAAAAATCTCAGTGGTAGCAAAGAAGAACTGTAAAAAAGTAAAACGAGAGAAACATTTTCCTGACTACCCACAAATTTAATAATAAAATCAAAAAGATAAAATCAGAGCATGCACTTTCACTTACTTTGATGGAAATTTCCCTTTTATTGAGTAGCCGTTCACACTTCTGTCAGACAACAAAGACACAGGTTTCTAAAGATTGTTTGCCCCCACTGGCAAGTTAGAATTCCAAGGAATTTCAAAGAGAAATTTAAATAAGAATACATAACAAAGTTCCTCAGGGTAAGAAGCTGAGCTGGGATAGGGACTCATTGGAAATGGTGAAGACAGTTGAATGAAACGGATGAGACAAGCAGCATTTCAATCACTGTTTTAAAATACACTGCCTCATTTAACAAAATTATTCCAGGCTGCAAAATCAAATTTTTGTTCAGTTTTACATTCTTCTTCAGGTGGTATGGTACTTTATTTTCACATACATGTCAGATACCTGGTTTTCTGGGTCTTATTCCTCATAGTTCCCTTCTTTATAAATGGATTATTACAGCTGAACCTTCATTCTTAAGTACATGGTATTCAACAACAAAGTGCAGTGAGAAATTAACAATGGAAAAAGACACTGTTTCTCTGCAGCTTGTACTTCCAAAGAGACTTATTAAGAGAAGTAAAAAGTTACTTGGAAAGATTGGGACAAACATTAAAGCACACACTGTCCCTTTGAAGGACTATTTTTAGCAAACTCAAAGGAGTTCTGTAGTAGGAGTATAACATTTCTGAGGCAAAATGTGATATAGACAGTATTTTCATATTTCTTTGGCAAAACAATTTTTAAATAATCTTCAAGCGCATTTGTCTGAGACGCATACCAACAAAACATGTCTAAAGGGACCCAGTAAGGAGCTGCAAATACTCTATCAAACTTTTTAGTTCAGAATCCTGAAGCTGTTTACATGATCTCCTTAACTCTTCAGCAGAAGTGTTCCCAGCCAGGAGAAAGTGCTTAAATACTTAACTGCATTAAGTCTTCAGAGTTATAAATCTGTTTGAGGATGAGTAAAACCAGTTCAAAGTTAAAGTAATTAAGACAGTTCAGCAATTCAAATAGTTAAAGCCAAACCACCTGTTAACATAGCTATTATCCTTCAGTTCTTTGGAAAACAAAGAAGTCTGTAAGATCAGGCTGTGGGTGTTCCCTGTGGAAATGGAAAGAGATGAAGCAAAAGAAAAAAAAAGTATAAAATGAGAACTACAAAGCCTGCTTCCCAGATTAAGAAAGAAATACTGGAGGAAAGGTGCACCTAAATCAGTGACTAGGAGCTTAAAACTTCCACTGCTGCTTCAGACTGCAAAGCCTGGGCTTTACTGCTAACCTATACTGGCCTGGAGAAAGGCCAACAAGTTTTGATGAGAAGCCAAAGTGAGCCCTTCTACACTGAGTTCCCATGCTGTTCACTGTCTTCTCATGCTGGTCCTGTGACTTGGCAGGGTTACAGTTGGGATTGAATTAAAAAAAAGATGAAACAGGCTTTTTATTTGTTGGGTGTAAAAGTAAGCTTTCTGGCAAATTGGGGTAAGAAATGGAAACCAATTGAGGAATGATATTAAGAACAAAGCCCAGCTAAAGAAGTAATGCCCAAGATGGTACTCAGAATTTGGATCTGAGTATAACTGAGGATTACTTTTGAAATGAGGTTGATAATTTTTCTCGATAACCCTGCAAAATCTAATTTTTAATTCAAGTTCTCCTCAAAGACCTTGATGTAATTGATCTGATCAAATGAGTTGCAAAAAACAGCTTCTGGTTTTAGATCTAATATTTATATTACATTCACCAGCACCAGGAGGTGTTTGTGTGTGCCAGAGGTGGAAGCAGCCTGACCATACCCTCTGGTCCACAGCAAGCTGGTGCTGGCTCACAGGCTCCACTGCTGGATTAAAGAGTGCTGTGCCTAAGGATAGATCTATTCCTGAAAAGCAGTGGCTGCAGAGATGGGCTTTACTGTGGACGCTCAGTACTCTGTGAACACAGGAAATTAACATCTCTGGAGGTCTTTGAAGAGAGCTTCCTGGAGGGGGATGACAAAGGATGGGGTAATCCAATCATGTCGCCCCTGTCCAGAGCTGTAGGACAGGAAAAGTCCATCTCTGTGTCATGGAAGGTGCTGCCACACCAGGTCCCTGCATATTGACTCATGGCCAGTTTGAAGGTCTGACAGAAGCTGACAGAATTTATGAAGCTGGCAAATGTTGGTGTTTAGATCTCAGCAGGGAGAGGGAAATGCATAAGCAGGTTGCCTACTATGGTAGACAGTAAACAGGACATTGAAGTGCTGCACTGTGGAGAGTAAAGAAAAGGTCAGAAGACAAGTTTGGAATTGACAACAGATGACAACAACTTTAATATATCTTACTCTTTCCAAACACTAACTGGAAAAATACTAAGAATGAAAAATATGCTAGCAGAAATATTACTTTGGCTGCCTTTCCCCTTTTAAGCAGATGAATTCTGGCCCTTCATTAATCTTGTTATTACGTTGTCTGAAATCATGGTTTCAATTTTTTTAACAGTCTGTACTTACTTACTTGGTGTCATGACTTTTGCATAAAAAGTGTGGAAGTGAAAAGTCCCCAGTAGTATGTAGAGGGACTGAAAAGTTAGTGGCTTCCTAAATATTTCAGTAATTCTAGGCTGTGTTTGAGCACCATCAAAATGTTAACAATTTTTATTCTTGCTGCTTGAGAGAGATGGAATGCTGACTGAGTTTTTGAGAAAGGGCAGAGAATACATTTTTAATTCAGACTGCTTAGATCTTATTTTCTCATTAAGCAGTGTATAATGTCATAGCATTGTAACCAACATTTTCAAAAGTGAGGTTTTACTTTATATGGGCATCATTTTGCTGGCAAGCCTATGTACGTGTCTAAACAGATATTCTTTTTTCTTCCATTTCATGGATAAAAATGAGACACATTTATGGGATGCATGTTTTAAACCACCTCATTCATTTTACCTTCTAGTCTTTTGGAGTCACAAAGGCTGAAAAGACCTTTGTTTTATGCTCTGAGAAGCTGTAAATGGTAGTTTTAAAGTAGTTGCTGTTCAGTTATAGCCTGGTTTTAAGAAAAAAATCCTTTTATTCATTGATTTGCTTATCTATGCACCTAAATTATTGTTGCTGCCAAGACATTTTCATAATTTTCAGTTTACAGCTTTGCAATTTGGCCTTAATTTGGTGCTCCATTGCAAACCAGCTACTTCTTTTGCATAGTTTCCATGCAAGTTCTCTTTTACACAAGAATTTTTAACAATAGAATTTGGACAGATGCATCATACCATAATGTAAAGTACAGCTGAAACTATATTGAGAGCATATGAGGCCTTAGCATGGTTAAAAAGTCTTTATTCTTATAACAAACACTTCAAGTTTAATGGAGCAGCAGATGTGTAGTGGAAGAAGAGCTAAGAGAATTTAAAGACTAAACCAAAGGACAGACCACAGAAGATTGAACAGAAGTTTCTTTTTTTCTTGTACATTCATATTTTGATGGGTATCAGAATTAATGCAAAATCTAAATTTTCCAGCAGAAAATGTTGATCTTGCTGTTTGGTTTTATTTGTTGGGTGTTTTTCTCTCTCTCCAGTTTGTTTTGGACAGTGTTGACAATAGTCTGTCTCTTTCTGCCATGGTAGCTGCTGGATTCAGGAACAACGTTGATAGAAAGCGGATTTTGCAATAGCCCCTTGAAGGACGAAGTTACATTTTTCAAACCCACATGCCAGTTGAAAACAGAGGGTCAAACTGGCTGTAATTTCAGTCTGTTTTCATAGAAGTATTCTAGGATCCACATCGAGATTGCATTAAGCCACAGGCATTTTGGTAAAAGATTCACACAGCCCTGGGAATGGGGATCAGGGAGAGATGGGCTCCTACCAGGCACACATTGCAGCACAGAATGTTCAGCAGCTCCTGAGGGTGGAGACACTCTCAACATGAGCTACCTGCAAACATGAAGCAGGCAAGGAGGAGGAGAGGGAAATTCATCTTGGATTTGCCCCTCCACAATAAAGCAGAATATAGGGCTGGGAAGTACTGTCATTTCAGATGGCCTGGGCCACTTAGGTGCAGAGCCCTAAGCTTTCTTCTGAGGGAAAAGAGGATACCAAAAGCTCTAAATGGGATCACTCTGTCCTCCTACTTGTCCCTCTACCAGCTGTGCTTCTGTGTACCAGCTATTATATCACACTGGAGGCCTTAATTTACCTCCACCCACTTGTTCCCTGTACTTCTTTCCTCAGCTCATTAACCTACTTGCTGTCCTCCCCATTGCATCCCTACTTGCTTTGATTTTCTGAGGAAGGAGGTGGATAGACAGTTTTGAAAAGGGAAGTTTGGCCCAGGCAGCGGGGCTGTCCTATTAACAGGTATGTTACCTCCCTTTGTATGCAGGGAGGAGGTGAAATGGGGCTGGACAGAAGATATTGGGGCAGTTCTCATGAGGAAAGATAAAATCAGACTAATAGGAGGGGTCATATAGCCTGGAAGTAGGTAGATGCTATACCAAGAGAGGCTCCTGGGGAGAAAATGGTTGGTGTATGTGCCTACACAACAGGCATCTGCTGTTGTGACTTTCATTACAGCAGTGTTGCATCTGTGCTTTCAGCTGCAGCAGGCTCATTTAAGCATATAACATGTTTTAAGTATGATGCTAAGTGGGTCATCTGGGATGAAAGAACTTTAAAACATTGTCTCAAAGGTCACAAGTTCTTGAAAACATAAGGAGAAAATTCTAAGCAGAGAGTTGAATTAGCGCTTGCGTTTTATTTCATAAAGAATAATGGTCTGTATATAGATGTTTTTACCCACTGAAGAAACCAAATGAATATGAGACCAGCTGGGCAGGATATCCTGGTTTGCTGAGAAGAGCATGATTCAAGCACAGCAAAACTATGATTCTTTGCAGACTCAGAGAGACTGGCAATAAAATGCTGCACAAAAGCCTGCCCAGCTACCCCAGGGAAAGTAATTTTGTTCTCCTTTTATACAGCATTTGCGAATACTCTGAACACCCTGAGCCATGTGATGAATTCCAAGTGAGTGACGTAAAGCACAGGGCTCTGGGGTGAAATGTGTTTGTCAGAGGCACTGACCATGCAGTTTCCTCACCTGCTGGTTCTTCTTGCTCCAGAGACCAAGTTTTCCAAGGATCTTCAAAAAAATGAAAGTCAGTTTTCTGAAAAAATGTTTTCTTGTCTTAAAAAGTGGAATTTCCTTCTAGGCCTTCTGTTGTACACTGGCTGCAGGCCCAGAAACAACAATATTACAGAGCACTACAGGCTGCACCCAGTGCCTGAAACTTGCTGAAAACTAGAACTTTATAACCATACAAAGAAAAAGTCTAGACTGGGAGCAGATAACAGGGAGATGTCCTACAGAGGCAAAATATCCAAAGACAGAGAAGCCTTGAGGGATCGCTGGTGCCTCAAAACAAGGCTGTACCTGCAATTGGCCTGGAAATGACCTGGACAGAAAACCTTTGCTTTCTGTGTGTTGGCTGTCAGAAAGGCACACGTATCTTGTTATTATATTCACACACTTTAAATGACTTTACTTGTTGACAGTCTCTAGATTTACATAGGACAAGCACACTATTTTACATAGCATTTTTAGCACATTTTACATAGCATATTGCTAAAACCCTCTTGTAGAAGCCATTACTCCTTTCTTTGTACTCTCAGCTCTTGATGCTGAGCTAGTGACATGAGCCCTGGGTGCTGTGGAGTGCTGCAGCCTTTTCACTCGTGTAGGGAAATAATTTCATTCCATCCTTTTGGAGCAAGTAACTAACTGGGAGGAAACATGATGAAGAAGAAAGAGGCCATTGTGAAAAAAAAACATAGAGATGAAACCAGATAGAAATATGCCTATTAACAAGATATAAAAAAATCTGAAAATATACTTGGTCTATGGTACTTCCCTTCTATCCGCAAGGTCCAGCATTGTCTCTCTTTCCTCACTGGTTCCTTTCTGGCCTTCTTCAACTAGCTTGTGAATCGTGCTATAATGCTGTTTGCTGCTGCTGAAAGAGTAGAGCTGGGAAGCATCTTCCCATGCCTGAAAAGCTGGCAGGGAAATGGGTTCTGGTTCCTTGTTTTCAAAAAAGCACTTCAGGTTTCGCTCGCTCAGCTTGGTGGCATACAGCTGGAAAATCTGCTCCAGTTGCTCCTTCTCTGTCCCCTCATATACTCTCCAGAACATCAGCTGGAGGTGGCTGACTTTTGACTGGCAGCTGGCACAGCAAGTGGTTAGCAGGGAGAGGACAGCTGTGGTAACTATCACACACCAGCCTAAAATCTGGGAAGGCAAAAGAAATCAGTTTCAGGTTAAAAAAGACCCAAGTGAAAATGCTACTTGAATCATGAATGTCTGACAAAGTGACCACACTTTGTTTGCATTTGGTGCTGGCCTTGATGTTAGTGGGACATCCACATGGGGACTTGTCTTAGGTTGGAAATGGGGGTGTGTATTCTATTCCCATCTGTTAAAGGTGGGGCAGTAATCTTCTGTTAATTGGGCAGTTCTCTTTATCTCTTCTACAACCAATCCGCCCTCCAGGAGATATCTGCTGTTCATGGGCCATTGAGTTGCACTGCATAACTGATAAAAATTACATCATCCCATTGTGAGAAGCTCTGCCCAGGGGGAGGAGCCAAGCATTCCTACCTGGATATAATCTAAGATTAGGAACAACACAGTCAGCCTTTTCCACTGGATTCAAAGAGGAGCAGCCTTCTCCCACTGGATACCCAGAGGAGCAACTGTCTTCTCCACTGGATTCCCAGGGGAAGACCAGGCCCATCTACACCACCATCAGACCTTCAGAGAAAACCTTCACCCCTCTACAGGATCACTGTTTCAGCAGAACCACGCCTGCCACTGCAGGAGGACTTCAGTCACCATTTAATGGGACTGCTACCAACACCCTGACCCACAGGGTGTCAAGTTGTATTCTGACTCTGTCAGTGGTTTCTTTTCTTTTCTTGTACTAATAATTTTTTATTTTTAATTTTCCTATAAAGAACTGTTATTCCTATTCCCATATCTTTTCCTGAGAGCCCCTTAATTTCAAAATTATAATAATTTGGAGGGAGGGAGTTTATATTTTCCATTGCAAGGAAGGCTCCTGCCTTCTTTAGCAAACACCTGTCTTTTCAAACCAAGACAGAACTGAAGAGAAAGAGTAAATCCATCAGCATAGAGGCTTCTCAATACTGCTCCTTTTGGTGTCTCTTTGGTAAAGGGTAAAGTGTTTTCTAACTCCTGAAAGCATTACATAAAACTACCCAACAAGAATTACTAATTTTAAATCATGAAGAACTACAAAACCAAAAAGGGCAAGTAACTTTTGTCCCAGATCAACCAGCCTTTTAAACTGTGACCACTGTTAGATGTTTTGTTTTCTGACTTCTTTTTATTAGAGAAAACCTCCAACAAAACAACTACATAATTAACCAGCATCACTTAACTCTTTTTTTCTGTAGCAGCTTCAGATGTGGACAAAATTCTGTCAAGAACATTTTCAAAGAAAGAGCTACTTCCATAATTACTTCCTCAGCAAGAGGAGAGAATGGAAAAATGTGCTCAAACTGGTTATTGTGGGATGTTCTCCTCTAAGGAGAGCAGCAGTGGGAACACAATTTTTTCCTGCCTTGTGCCACTGACCTAGCCAATAGTTTCACTTGTCTGATCCACTGTGATAAGTTAAAAAAAAAAAATTAAACTTGTTTTCAAACACTGGAAAAAGTTCCAGTGTGGGACAAATATTCTAGGGCTCAGAGGCTTGTATGAACTGATTGGATGGAACTGATTTCCCATGCTCTAATGGTGATGATTTGGAGAGTGAACTCTCATGTGAACTCTTGCACTGATGTTAAAAAAAATAACCACCAGTAAAAATCTGTGTTTAGCTGATGTAATATCGAAAGTTTCTTCAGGGAAGTCTGTGAAACAGAGAAGTTTGACAAACAACCATTCTTAGGAATTGGTATAGAAGAATAGTTAGAGCTTTCCTTTATGTTTCCCAATCACTTTGTACTGACTAGCAATTTCTATGGGTACTTGAGAAATCGCTCTTTTTAGCACTTTTTCACTTTCTTGCAGCTTGGAAAATGAACTCATATATTCTCATGGTAATACTGAATCCTTGGTCTTTCAGTATTTCCTATACATACACCTCAAGCACTATTTGTTGTTGCCTTTTAAAACTAACAAACAAATTGCTTTGTCTGCAGTGCAGTCATTGTCCTGTTTGCATGAGGACTTAAAAATAAAACCAGCTCTTGGAAAGGAAATTGTTCCAGATGGATACAAAAACTTGCTGGCTCCACAGAGTGTTTTCCTTTTTCTGTAGCTTTTTTTTTATTCTCTCCACCGTTTTGATTATTTGCCTCTGAATTTATTTGCATTACAATGCCGAGAGCAAAATTGTACTGCACAAATACTGTAGAAAGTAGTAAGATCTCAGCTTTGCATGATCTGCTTGCGTTATTGTTTCTCACTTCCTCCAAGCAGGACAAAAACATGCTTACATTTGTCATCACAAAAAAGAGGAACACAAATAGAAGCATATTATTTAAGCAGTCAAAAGATATTTCACAAATCTTATTTTCCAGTATTTTTCTGCTGTTAGTGACCTACAGTTATCACAATGATTTAAAATAGGAGAGCGTGGCATGAATTTTTTAATAGGAACAGACCCCATTAATGCAGTGATATCTGTTAATTCAGCCTCCAAAACAATCCAGTTGGGTTTGGGTTTTTTTCCCTCCTTAGAGCAATCTCCATTCAGGAAGAAAGCTTTAGGTTTTCTTGTCTTATTGACCCCGCCATCAGTGTGGACCCCTAAGAAATATGGAACAGCTCAAACTGAACCAAAAGATGGATTGATTGTATGCCAAAACATTGTTTACATGAAGCCAACAGTTTTAACAAAACTTCTGACATCAGGATCTTCCACAGATAAATCAAAGCAGCAGTACAGCCTGGATAATGCTCTTTGTTTATCATTTTTCTTACCTGGGACTGTGCTTGAAGTGTTCTTTTCAGTTCATCACTCTCTGAAAAGGGCAGGGAACTTTTGTCACAGGCTACCTTGTGTAGCTCTTCAAAGCAGCTCTCCGATTTGCTGTGGCAAACTGCTTGTAAGTAGGCAGGATTTTTCAAGCCACTCATGGCACATTCGTAAAAAGTCCCGTTGAGCAAAGCCACGGAAAGCCACATCACTGGGGCTACCAGAGCATTTAAAGTGATTTGTCCAAAGACGTAAAAGAAATGGCAGATATTCCCTCTGGGGAATATTTTCCTGGGATTCACCCAGCAGCCTGTAAAGAGTTTCCAGGTCTTGCTGTTCAAGAAGTATCCGATAACCAGCAAAACAAGAGCTGGCGAGAAGAGAAATACCAGACCGTACCTGAAGTTTTCGTTGCTGCAAGGGCATCTGAAAGCAACAAGAGAAAACACACGTTCACCTCCCATTGTCAGCAGCGCCATAAAACTGTAACCTATAGCGGTTTTCCGGTTCATAAAGAACTTCAGGATTGTTTGGAATGCATCCATCTCTGGTACTCACTAAGGAGGTGAAAGCCGGGACGGTTTCCCTCCGCTGGCAGCGGCGTGAGGCGGGGCAGAGCTCTCCGAGGAGGCGCAGCCCGGCTCTCCCCGCCTGCGCCCGCCCTGCCGAGATAGCGCCGTGATGTCACTGCTGCAGAACGCTGGCAGGCCAGATGTGGCACATCCACAGAGGCATTCACCCGGCGAGGAAAGAAAGCAGGCAGTGCTCTGTGGGACCAACTGAGTTTGCAGCCTTGGAAGCCTTGTTCTCGGTGGGCTGTTTGTTTTTTGAAGTGACTGCAAATGGAAAGATCAGAGTTGCGGGAGATCTTGAGCTGTGATTATAAAAGTTGCTGGTGAGGTAGTGAATGACCTAATATAGATGCTAATGGTCCCAAGGGAGTATGACATGACTGAAAGGAGATGAGTGATAACAGTAAAACCACTTTGTGTCGGGTTGTAAATGTAGGAACTTCAAAGAAGAACAGCTCTCTGTTGTGTTTTCCTGGAGCATCACACAGCTCTAGATTTGCATTGCTGGTTCAAGCTGATCACAGAAGAGACAAATGTACTTTGATTTCTAGCCTGTCTGGCTCTCCCCCCTTATTTCCTGGGGTAAAATTGGTCTACAGGATACTTCTTTCTAAAATTTCACCTCTGGTTTGCACGCAACACATTGAAGCGGCAGAGTTTCATTCTTTTGCAGGTTGCTTTCAAGATGTATCTTGGAGTCACCCCTAGTGTGAGCTGCAATAGTGTCACAGGGAATGAATTCTCCTTAATCCTGGACAAAAACCCACTGGTGGATTTTGTGGAGGAGCTGCCAGCGGAACGAGCGTCACTCTGCTATTGTAACCTCCTCTGTGGTGTGATTCGAGGTGCCTTGGAAATGGTAAGGAGGTGCACATCTGTTTTCTCCATTCTTTCTTAATTCACAGAAGCACAGGAAAACAAAATCATTTGTTCAGATAAAAGTAGGAAATATAGTATTGTTTAACCTCCTGGGTTAAATGTCTGTATCTAGATAAAAGAGGACAAGGCTGATCCTGGATCCTGAGGTAGAGAAGCACATGGGAGTATCTCCCCTCCACACTGTCCCTGCCTGGCTGTTCAGTCTGTTCAGTGGCTGACTTGGGTGCAAAAGCCAGGTGGGATCAAGAAGACAGGTAACACTTAAAGTGGAGGGACAGAGGGGCATGTTGGGTTCCTCCACTGCTCTTGGACCCTATAACAGTTCCCTGCACAGCTGTAGCCAGTAATAGTCATCCCAGATGCTTTCCAAATATGTCAAGATAAATAATACTCTTAGGTTACTGTGGTACCTGCTGAAAGAGAGAACGAAGTGTAGATGAGTATAATGTTAAAACCAAAGCATCAGAAGTGTATCAGATGGCAATCCAAATTTTGTTCTTAAACGTAAGGTTTTTTGTAAAGAAATAAATAAAGGGCATAAATTGAAAATTTGTGACCTGTAGAGCTTCTTCAGGGAGATTACTTTTGGGCTGCTTTTTTTTGTCAGTATGCGATTCTGCATAGATCTTATATTTCAAGACACAAAAACCTCAACCCTGTGGTGTTATGTACATACATCAGTCTCAGAATTATAGCATCTGATACACGACCCAGTATCAAAAGTATTATATCATAACTCTTAGTACATGACTAGGAAATTCTGTGATCACAAAATCATTAAGTATGCAATTTAGGTTTTTTAGAAGAAAGCAAAGCACTGGGGAGAAGGGTAATGTGCTATATAAATTCCAGTGTCTATAAACTTCCTTTGTGTTAGCTTAGTTGGGAAAGCTATTTTAAAACAATTTAGATATCCATTTCCTATGAAACCTGGGAAAGGGGGTCCTCTTGTGGTAAGAGAGAGAGAAAAAGCTCATTAGGAGGGTGGAAAACTGGGCATTTTTTTGCTTAACTAATCAACATGATTCTTTCCAGGTTCACTTAGCAGCAGAAGTTTCCTTCCTCCAGGACAGGCTGAAGGGTGATGCTGTGACAGAAATAGGAATTACATTTTTAAGGAAGCCTGAAGACAGAAAGCACAGAAGGAACAAATGAAAGAAATATTGGGAGAAACCCTTGCCTGGGGATATTTTGTGCCTTTTGTTTTAGAAGAAGACAGGGTAAAAGTGGCTTTGATGAGTCAGCTGTACCAGTCACCTGGTTGAAAGGTGAAGAGAGCAGGGCAGCAAAGAGAAGGGGCAGGGCAGGGGAGAGCAATGTTAATTGTTGTGGCACAGATATCAGTAAAAAAGATTGAAATTATCTGCCCTTTCTTCTCACATACCCAGGCTCTCGAGCTTAATGGAAGTTCTATCTCAGTATTTAGTACAGTAGTATTTATTTGTCTGTATACCAATTGTTTTCAGGTAAAGCTGATGACCTTTACCCATTTTGTCAGTAATATTTCAAAGCATGGCTGCTAGAGGTGCTTTATTTCCCTGGCTGTGTGTGGTTATCCACAAAGGATTCCTCTGCTGCCATTGCTGTATGCAGTGTCTTGCTCACAGGTGCATGTTTTGATGTGTGATGCTTTGCCATTCATTGTCCTCCGCACTGGACATCCTGCTGCCTTTGAAACCAGGGAGGTAGGGGTCTTCACTGCTGCTGCTGGTGTTCTTTCCAGCTCTTCAGGCCCCACATGCAGTTTTGCTGGCACTCCTGCTCAGTCCTGTGCACACTCCAGGCTGCAGCACTCTGACAACTGCAGCAGTGCTTGTGTCTCACCAAGCTATGGGCCTTTCCATGTCAGCCTTCTCTCCAAGAGCACTGATCTTGTGACCAAACTGAACAAAGCATGATGTATTTAATGTGTAGCCATTGTGGACCTGTACTTGAATTAACTTGAATTAAAATTCTGAGATTGCCACACAATCTTTAACTTTAATTAAACTTGAATTAAAATTCTGAGATTGCCACACAACTAGTTTGTTGGTCGCGTTTTCTTTTCTTACCTGGCCTTCACAACCAGCTGTTGAACATCTTCCTCTTGGCCGTGGACTTGTTACCACAACATGACTGGGAAGTAGAGAAGGAGCAGCCTCAGAGAAACCCAAGTTATAGGATAGGTTTAAAGTTGTTTGGTGTAATGCAAGATGTCTGGATAAGGGTTGGACAAAACCCCAGGTCCTAGCACAGCACCCTACCCACAAAGCCACCTTACCCTCTTCGTATCAAAACACTTCTTTTAAACTGAAATATCAACAACTAAGGTCAGTGTAGCCCCAAGTTAACTCTGATTTTATCACTGTGTTTTGTACCTTCTTCTCCTATTTTTCCCTCAGTCTGTTTACATCATGCTAAATGAGGGCATCTCTTACCTTGGGTTCATTCTCACCAGACCTGTACAGTCCTCATGATAATCTCTCTCCCTTTGTTTGTCTTAATGGTGTGGTAAAGTGGTGGCATAGCAGAATAGCTATGCTCAAGTGAGCAATTTTGAAGGGAACAAAAACTAAATTATTTGTTACACAGCCTTGGTCTCAGCCCAGCTGCTGTTACCTGCTACCAGTAAGAAGTGGCAACATGTACATGTAATAATATGTTATAACAAGTAACAAGGTTCCCTGTCTTTTTTTTTTTTTAATTATTATTACTGTTTTTTTTAATTAGAGCTGAAATCTGTTGTAGAGTTTGTCTGATTTCACTGCCTGTACAAGAGCCCTCAGTGGGGCTTTTGCTGGTTGAGATGTACATGTGGCTGACCACAATGAAGGCTGTTTATTGACAATGGCCGTTTGTACTTTTTCCAACAACACTAACCAAATATTCTCTTCTTTAAATTTGTTATTATCTTGAAAGTGAATAACCTATACTGTCCTTGTTTTCTTAGAGAATTACAGAACTGTTAAGGTTGGAAGAGACCCCTGAGGGTCATCTAGTCCAACCCCACTGACAAGGCAGGGTCACCTAGAGCAGGTGACACAGGAACATCTTGGGTTTCTGTGGTTGAGATGACCTCCAAGGTATTAGAAAGTCTTTTTTTCCCAGCCCTGCACTCAAAGAAGAAGTCGAGATTCATCGATTCTGCTTTTCACAGTTGTTTATTTTTCTTATCTATTACATTCTTTCTTTGACCTGTGAAATCTGTCCAGCAGGTCAGGTTGTGGCACAGTGACTGCTCTTGGGGAGGTGTTAAACTTTTTGTACTAACACCTTGGGGAGGTGTTAAACTTTTTGTACTAAGAACTACGCGTACTTTATTTACAATAATTTTCCAATACCCATCACCTATGTTAGACAGTCTGTCTCTACTCTAAACCAATCAAAAAGTGTCATCATCACAGCAGAAGATGGAAGATGGAGGACAAGAAGAAGGAGAAGAAGGACAGGACACGCCCAGATTCCTCCATCTTGCCTCTTGAACCCCCATTCTAAAACCCCAAAATTCTACTTTTTTACCCTGTGACAAATTAACTATCATTCTACTCAAACTCTTGTGGTTTGTAAATCTTCACACAAAGTTGGTAATTTTTTCCATGGACTAAAATCGAAGCCACAGGTGGTTTTGACCCTGTGCCAAGGTCTCTCTGAGCCCTCGGCTAGGGTCTCAAATCACCCAGAGCGGCCAGAGGAATGTCCTGGGTCCCAACAGGAACAAATCTAGGTGAGTCTGGATTGTCTCCAGAGAGGGAGACTCCATGACCTCCCTGGGCAGCCTGCGCCAGTGCTCTGGCACCCTCAGTGTAAAGTTCTTCTCATGTTGAGGTGAAACTTCTTGTGCTTTAGATCGTGGCCATTGATCCTCCTCCTGTCACTGGGCACCAATGAAAAGAGTCTGGCACCTTCTGCGGTAGCCGTGACTTTAAAATTCCCGCCTGCGCCGCCGATCCCGCCTGCCAGCAGACGGAGCGGGAGGAATTCGCGGTTTCGCGGCTCGGTGGGCGGCAGCCGCTCCGTCGTCAGGGACGCGCAGGATCGGCGTTCAGCTCTGCCAGAGGCGGATAAAAAGGCACGGGACCACAGACAGGGATGGGAGAGCGTCCCTCCGACCGGGGCAAGTCCAGGTTTTATTCCAGAACGCGGAGTAACGCCCACGGGAAGCCGCCGGATCGAAGGGCGGCGGTGGGAGGGAATACACGTGTTATATAGGAGAAACGGGAGGGGGAGAGCTCAGACAGGCAGCGAATGGGGACCCACGGTGAGCGCGGGCTTTGTCAGAGTGACAGAACCGGTAGCCAACCAGAGAGCTCAAAGGTGGGACCCCGGTCGCTGGCCCAGTAATTCCGTGTATAACACTGAAGTTTCTGGATAAAAGGGAGGTATTTGGGGGTGACAGAAAGACGCGGGTTTCCAGGGTAACAGGTGATGGACAGATAACTGGGAAAGAGGGGGAATTCCAGACAGAACCATTATACAGAAAAAGGGGGTAACAGAACATTCCAGCTTAAACCGGGGAAGCATAATAACACAACGCAACAACCCTCCTCTTGCCACTCACTTTTGAGAGGTATTAACGAGATCTTCTCTCAATCCTCTCCTCTGGACTAAACAGGCCCAGCTCCGGCAGTCTCCCCTCATAAGAGAGATACTCCAGACCCAAATCACCTTTGTGGCCCTTCTGCTGGGGCCTCTCTAGTAGCTCCTTGTCTTTCTTGTACTGAGGAGCCCAGAGCTGGATACAGCACTTCAGATGTGACCTCACCAGGGCTGAGTAGAGGAGCAGGAGCACCTCCCTTGCCCTGCTGGCCCCACTCTTCCCAATGCACTACAGGACACCAGTGGCCCTCCTGGCTACCAGAGCACTGCTGGCTCATAATCATCCACCCAGACACCAGGACCTTCTCTACAGAGATGCTCTCTAAGAGGTCAGCCCCTGCACTGTTACTCCATAATCATCAAGTTTCTCAGAAGGAAAAGAGCACTGAGTAAATAAGTGACTGTGATGAATATGTTTAAAAAATTCTTTTCTACATGAGAATTAAATCTGGTTTTGCCTTCATGTGTTATATTTTTAGTTTATAGTGAGAAAGAAGCTTCAAACTCGTTATATTCAGCTAGTTAAAATAGGCTCTCCCCTTCTTCCTTCCTTGCAAAATGAATGTAACGAATAAATTCTTGGGTTTCTTGCCTGCCTGTCTGAATGATTTTTGAATTTATTGTGTAGAAAGAGAGAATTTCTGGGAGAAGTAAATGGACAGCCTGGACCAAACAATCTGACTTACATATCTAAAACTGTCATAGCATAGCATCCCCAGCCGGGTAATAATTAGCATTGACTCCATGATTCCAGAAGGCTGATCAATTGCTTTATTATACTATACTTATTAAGAAACCCATCATCCTTACAGACGGTCCAATACAGTTTGACCTAATTGGTCCTTTAATTAAAATGCCATCACCATTGGATAATTAAGAAAACACCCTTTGGTAAACAAATCTCCATAACACATTCCACATGTTTACAACAACAGGTGCAGCAAGTGAAGATAAGAATTGTTTATCATTCTTTTCTTCGATATTCTCATAGCCTTCCCTGGGACAATGCCTGGGAAAGTTGTGTGTTGCTCTCTGTGGCTAGAGAGCTGCTGCCACATAAAAGGCTCTCTTAAACAACAGCTTTTCAGGACAAAAGTGAACTTTATTATTCTTCACTCAAAACTTGTATCTTTATTTATTATATTAAGATGTTGTTTGATAAGCATACTACTACTTGCTAATATGGATTGCAGATTTTTAATGTCCGTAAGTGTATGAATGTGCTTTTAATACTTGTTAATATATAAGCTTCACCTACATCGCCACAGTATGCATGACAAGCTAAATTTTTTAATCTACAGCTTGCTCTAAGCTTCACTGAAAGCTTCATTTTAAAGAGAGAGCTAAAAAAGTAAGCTGCATTTCTGATGAAATCTTCCATTCCTGTCTTTGTCTTTATGATAAGATTTGGTATTGTCACTCCACCTGCCAACTGCTTTTAAGGTATCGGTAATAATTTGACATAATATGTGCTGATACCTTTGTGGATGCTGATTATTTTACATACAACTCTTCTTAATGGACAACAACATAAGAAAAGTGCCTTTTAAATGTACTTAAGCAAAAAGTAAATCTACTGA